CACACACACACACACACACACACACACACACACACACACACACACACACACACACACACACACACACACACACACACACACACACACACACACACACACACACACACACACACACACACACACACACACAGGCGCGTATACCCGCCAGTTTACACCCGCACCGCAATATATATACGTGACAACACGCTATACGTTCTTTGTCGTTGATCCTAACCCTCCCCCCACCGTCTATCGCAGTCATATTCCAGAAGCGGTTGAAGAAGGAGAAGAAGGCGCGCAAGAAGCTTCACGATGACATGCATCGCGAGCAGAAGAGACGCCAGCAGCTGGAGGAAGCTCTCTCCCAGGCGTGCCCACCCGATGCTCTCCGCATGCTCAATGGTAACTCACACATGCCAGCTCGCACATTGGGGATCCGTCTACTCGCCCACTTTCTCCTGCCCCTCTCCTCACCATTGGATATACAAACGTTGTCAGAAACAAGATCAATTATTATTGACATTAGACCTAACATTAACCCCCTTGGTGCGTTGACGAAAACAACGTAGAGTTACGAGAATGAAAGATCCTAGCAAATTTCCTCAAAACTTTACGAAACGAAATCGTACCAACGCTTTCCGAGAAAAAGTTATTGTTAAGAGTAATGTTAAGACCAACTTTGATGCTTACAACGGGCTATTGGTTTATAATTTTGCAAACGCTAACTCTTGGGTCGTGACTTTAAACTGCTGCGCCAAATCAGTGTAAGTCCAGTTTTCCTTGTAGTTTGATAAAAGCGGAAGACATGCGTGTCTGAGATAGTATCACGACCAGGATTAAGATCACAGCCAAACAGGCGGGGAAGTGATTGTCTAGCTTATATTGCTCGGGATATGCGCCCATGTCGTTACCTCGGATGTTAAGTTTTTGTGCGCCGCGTTTCAGAATCCCTGTCCAAAGACGTCGACATGGAGCGAACATCAAGAAATGAAAACGAGAGAAAACTGCCTACAACCGATTTCGTAAGTTAACGCTAAATATTTCGCAACGTTACACGTGCGTGCGCGCACATGTGTTTGCGTATGGGGTGTGTGCGAGCGCGTGTGTGTCTGTGCGTGTATGCGTGCGCGTGCGTGCGCGGGTGTGTGTATGTGTGTGTGTCTTTGTATGTTTACGTATCACGTTTCGTACGCACGTGTAACGTAGCGACCGTATCTATTCGCGACAAAGATGGTTCAGTTTGCTCCTCATAGCTCGCATGTGAGTACGAATCACGTGACCGTTAAATGACACCATCATCTCATAAATTCACATGAGATTTTAAATATATTAACCAAATATTTTATTGATTGGGGACTGTACATCCCCTCTCCTTCTACCCCTTATCCAGAGGCGTGTAATTTTACACACCTACTCTCTCACGCAGCAAACGCTCACGCGTATATTCACGTCTATCTCAGTATCTTCGCGTGCACTAGCGTTACGTTACCGTCGCAACGCGGATGACGCGTGTAAGATAGCGGCCGTTCTGATCATGTGTGCCTCTCGCGACAGATGCAAGAGTACACTACGCGAGCGATGTCCTGCATAGTGCCCAGCTACCAAGACAGCAAGATGGCGCACTCGATGGCTCACGTTCCACCGGTACAGAGCGTCATCCCGTGAGCAGCTAATAACTCCGCGGCTCCACGGCTCACACTCACACGTCGACCAAAGGATTCATATCACACACACTCTCTCTCTCTCTCTCTCTCGCGCTCTCTCTATCTCTCTCTCTATAGTAAACTAAAAAAAATTCTCCCGTCATGCACTCCTTCTCTCGCTTGAGGTCGCCCACTGATTGGCGTTGTCGGAGTGACTATCACATACAGAGGAGGAAAGCTGGTGATACGGACGGAGTACTTATATGCCTGCTGTTATATCTGTCTAATCATTGCTCGTCTATAGCTATAGATCTGAAGTTGAATCGTTCACCGAATTTCTATCGTACTTCTTCCATTTGCAGATGTTTAGCGTTTAATCTGAGATGTTGTTATCGATGTTTATGTTGATGGATGAAAATGTGACACGTTCTTGACAGGCAGTCTCTGCGAATGTCCGCGTGTTCCTATTATGAATGTTTCCATGTTGTGTGATCACACTCTTAACTATGATATTTCTGTGCCTTGTTATATAAGATATCATTTTCTCACGCACAGTTTGTTTTATCTCATACGAAGGAAATTTTACACAAAAACCATTATCTCGGTGAAAATACCTATTGGTGTAAATTTGGTGAGGTGTCGCAAGATCAACATCTGAATGTAGCTATTATAGTGTGTATATGTAGGTAGAAACGGACACATAGGCCCGCGTAGAAAGTCGATTCTGTATTAAATGAAGACGTATTTCAGCCAAAGAATTTGTGTATATTTAATGACATATAGAATTTAGATTATTGATGTATTTAGCAGCGTGTATTCACGTGTAAGATGCACAGACACTACCACAGCAATCCGCCATTTTCCCAATGCCGTCCGCTGTGGCTCTTCGGACCAAATTTTTGTCTATGTAGGTGCAAATAATAAATATGCACGTTTATTATGTATTCATGTAAACCACGTGACCCGTCTGCGTGAATGCGTACGTTGTGTACTTGAATCGGTTTGCTGTGGTAGGTTCGTGAATGCATTATAATTAAATTGAAGTTGTTTCTAATATCTGCTACCGTACAGTAACTGTGAATCTCTTAAATTTACGTCAAAAGAGTCATATTATATGTAATTTTATTTTGTTTATCGGTATGATGAACATTATTATGTATCTTCTATGTATAGTATGCTAGTGTGATAATAATGTTTAGGTTGATCATATTATATGATATAGTTGTTGTCATTGTACAGCATATGTATATGTATATGTATTATGTATATGTATTATGTATATGTATATGTATATGTATATGTATATGTATATGTATATTACGAAAAGTTAGCTCGACTGTTCGTCGGCACAGCATGCAGTCAATGTTTTCACGACAGTTGTTTCACAAAAAATGCGCTGAACCCCCAGTCGTGACTACGGTAGTTCGGACACCTTTAGCCGAAAAATCGCTTCGATAAAGAGCAAATGATATTACTTGATAATTCTAAGAGATGTTAGATATCGCTCACATCTAAACGGAGCACTTGATTAATCGTCCATTTGAAATCAAGCGAGTAAACGAGTGTAAACGGCTCTGCTCGGCGTGATAGCACGATAGCAATTTGCGTGTTATACTAATAGTAGTCACAGCGATTCGAATCGCGTACATCAAAATAGGAGACCCGGGCACGCCTCTACTACAGAGCGTTGTTTCGACCCGATATGGATTCTAATAGGTAGATGGCTTTCACTTCGCGCCACGAAGTTCTAGTTTATAAATTATTCTTGGCGAACTCTCCTTAGGTAAATAAAATGACAAAGAGTCGATATTTGAATAATGTATGATCGCAGCGGTATCTTTGAATTTTATTTTCTTGAACCCATCTAAAAGTGAACCGCATCCGCCATTTTATCACTCCGGAAAGTGAAGCTCGTGGCGGATGTGACCCAACCAAAGGTAATTTTTAGGTCGGCTTACCGGTACTAACGTACCTGCAATAACACCAATATGTGTAATCTGTCATCAGTAGTAAACGATCTGAAATTCGAGATCTAAATCTAATTGGAGATCGGTGCACATATTGCTGCAGAGTGTTCTACTATGGCATGTTAGCCCACCTAATACTGGATATATGGCGTTGCGAATCTACGGCATCACCGCTGATTTATACTGATTGCTGACTACCGATGTACTGTATATCGATATACTGTAATATCCGATAATCTATATATCGCATTTACTGTAAATATCGATATTACGTATACCGATATACTGTACTATCGATGTACTGTAATATCATATGATCTGTAGAGGCCGATCGATAAAGTATCTCCACTCATGAACCGATGTGAGAGGCGTATCATAGAATCGGATATAAATCCCTGTATTACGCTTGATATACCTATATCACCGATGTACTGTATATCGATATACTGTAATCACCGATATACTTGTATATTCGATTCACTGTATAAGTCGATATAAGCTGTATACGCGATATACTATAATAATCGAGCTGTACTGTATATCGATATAGAGCTGTATACCCCGATATACCTGTTATCAACCAGACAAGCTCTACTGTACAATCGATACACGACACATTTCAGTATTATCGCGATAAATATACCTGCTATATCGCACGTGTACAGCTATATCATCCGATATAACCTGCGAATCACCGATATACTGTATTCGAGTACCCTATATATCGATATACTGCACTACTGTATATATCAGAGTAATAGCGGACCCTTATTATCTACGCTAGTATGAAAGCATATCTTAAATATAACTAGCACATACCTAACGATGCGACAACGACGTTTATAGATTCAACTATAATATTGGCTCGTTTAAATCTTGTAAGTAAACAGTCATGCACAATGAGTTATGTAATTAAGCTTAATGATGTTTCTAATTGCGATGTACCGTTAAGTCTGTGTTCGTAATTAACAACAGGCTAATGAGCAACATGACTGCGAGACAATTGGCTTTCTGTAAAAGAGAGATACACATATCTTCAAGTTAATAACTACAGTACATCGACTTCTAATAAATCGAGACCTCTACTGAATAAAATTCATTAGCTTAGCATAGTTTTTTAGAAACACAAAAGAAGCAAACAACACGCCATTTCGTTCAGTTTCAAGTAGCAAAAGATTGTTTCCTTTGAGTGCTGATACAACGCTAGCTAATTTGGTAAGGCATTCGCAATTACATCACGCTTAATAAACTATACTTTATATACAATTACTAATATAATTAATATAATATAATAATAAGAATATTACTAATAGATTTAAATTCTTAAATAAGACGCTAAATAACTACAAAGGTATACACTTCACTGCCTCTTGATATTAATATATACATTATATATAATATGTATGAACAAGGGAACCCAACCGTGTAACTCAGTAGTAACGTGTAATTAATCCACACGGTGTTGTCTGTGGCACAACCACCTGCTTCAAAAACGAATTAACCCTAATTGTAGTATGTACCCGCCAATTTTTTTTCCGGCAGTTGCCCACACACGTCATGTCTCATTTGCCACCCGCCCCCCCCCCCCCCCCCCCACCCCCCCCCCCCCCGCCCCCCCCCCCCCCCCCCCCCCGCCCCCCCCCCCCCCCCCCCCCCCCCCACCCCCTCTCCCCCCCCCCCCCCCCCCCCCCCAACCTCCCCCCCCCCCCCCCCGCCCCCACCCCTACCCCCTCCACCCCCTCCCCCACCTCCCCCCCCCCCCCCCCCCCCCCCTCCCCCCCCCACCCCCCCCCCCCCCCCCCCCCCCCCCCCCCCCCCGCCCACGCCCCCCCCCCCCCCCCCCCCCCGCCCCCCCCTCCCCCCCCCCCCCCCCCCCCCCCCCCTCAACCCCTCCTAATCAATCGTAACCGTCACCTTGGGCGCGTCTCTGTAAAGCATAAAGCCCAACGCACACACGATTCCGTTGCCGAGCAAAACACCGGAACGTGGAGCAATAACGCGTTTCGCGCTCGATGTTCTCGCGCTCGTGCGTGCCGGATATTCCCAGAAACAAACAACACTTGCTCAGCTGCCCCTATTCGTGAATCTATTGCAGTACGCGACCCGCACGCTTGGACCCCACACACGACACTCCCCCAAAGACACCAACATAAAACAGACACTTTAACATTACACACACACAACACACATCTCTTCATGCATAACCACACGACCCCAACCACCCCACGCTCACACCTTAGCCGCCGCGCCATCCCCACACATCCACACACCACCCCACACACACACACAAGTCGCACATCGCGCCGCCAACCCCGATCCCTCACCCCTCTATATATATATATATATATATATATATATATATCCACTCTCCGCAGGCCGCCTCACTCCATCGCGTCCGAGGAATATGGTGGTGCCCAATTGAGAGAGCCGTTAAATTTCGCACTAGCGCCAGCAGTCTCGTTAAAGACTTTGCGAAGCAATGACCTAACTTACAATCGAACTTATAAGAAACTAAGAAAACTAAAGAACTTCATAGACTGATAGGAAGGCTAAAGACTAAAGACCTAAGGTCGACGCAGATTGACTGAAGACCTATCTCCATCAATCAATGGATTTCTTTTTTTTGACTTTTAATGACGGTCCGCACGGATATGAATAGTTGAGGCAAACGACCACAATGAGAAAGAGATTATTCGCCCGCCGGTGACTCCACTGATCAATTCAATGTTGATGGGACGCTGAGAGGCAACTGGGGTTAGGTGTTTATAAGGTCGGGGAGCATTGGAGGGGAGAGTCAAGAGGGACAGGCTATGCTGAGGCTACAGCCAAAGAAAAAGATATAGGGACGACCGGTACTCTAAAGAAGTATTCTAAGCTGTTTCGACATTTCGGAAAGATTAAAAACTTCCGCTGGGAAGCATTGTATTGCGCTGCTAAATGAATGCCCGCCACCCGCACCACTGCCATGCACCTTCAACACATAAGTTCTCGGGCTTTGATAATGAAATATATCTAACGCTACTAAAAATGGCCCAGAGCACTCAATAACTCTCAAAGATGCATTTTTCAAGACAACAATCAACACACTAAACCAAACCAACGCACCGGCGCGCCCCCACCCACGTCGGACCAATGCTGGCTGATAGATAGATACGATAGATAGATAGCTAATCAGACAGACAGACAGACAGACAGACAACGCGATAGATAGATAAAAATACTAAGATAGATTAGATAGATAGACTAGATAGATAGTAGATAGATAGATTAGATAAGATAGATAGATAGTTAAACAGATAGACAGACATGACCAGACAGACACAGACAGACACACGAGCGCGACGACAGACAGATAGATAGATAGATAGATAGATAGATAGTAGATAGATAGATAGATAGATAGATAGATAGACAGACAGAGCAGGACAGACAGACACAGACAGACAGACAGACAGACAGACAGACAGAAGATAGGATAGAATATAATGATAGACACAAGGGCAGTACAGACAGATCAGACAGACAGACAGACCAGAGCAGATGAATAAAATAGATAGTAGATCAGAAAAAAATCTAGAAAGATAGATAGACTACGATAAGCTAGATAGATAGATAGATAGATTAGATAGCATAGATTAGATAGATAGAGTAGATAGTATAGATAGATAGATAGATAGAATATGATAGATAGAAGATAGATAGATAGACTCAGATAGATAGATGAGATAGATAGATAGATAATACTGATAAATAGATAGATTAGATAGATAGATTAGATATGGATCGTAGAAGATAGACCTAGCTAGCACTAGATAGATAGACTAGATTAATCGATCGATCGGATTGATAGATAGATTAGTGGATAGATCGATAGATTAGATAGATAGATAGATCGCTAGATTAGATAGATAGATAGATGATAGATAGATTAGACATAACTAGATAGATTAAGATTCAGATAGATAGATATGATAGATAGATCGGATCTGGATGGATGAATAGATGCAATTGGATGGATGGAGTGAATGGATGGATGGATGGATGGATGGATGGTGGATGGATGGATGGATGGATGGATTGGATGGAGTGGAATGATGGATGAGATGGATGGATGGATGGTGGAGGGATTGGATGGATGGATTGGATGGATGATGGATATGATGATGGCCTGGATGGATGGATGCGATGGTTGGATGGG